ATATATTTCTTAAAGTTTATTAAAAGATCAATTATTAAACAGGCAAGAAAAAGCAATAAAAATTAATTATCAAGTCACATATTTTGGAAACAACAAACAAGTTGTCAACATTGAAAATATTTGACGAAACAACTGCAGCTGTAATTTAGAGTTATTTTTCTGAAAGAAATAACGCAGCACAATTTTTATCATTGTTTTATAAGTTATTTATCATACTTAATTCAAAGCAGAAACTTAATTCATCCAATCAAACTCAGCAGTGTTGCTTTGAAAGGTGATAACAAACCCACACTTTATAGAGAAATTGCAAATTGTACTGAAATTTGATCAAAATAAAATTTGATAAATACTTTACATTAACCAAACAAACTTCTTGTGCTCTAATTACAACACTAAAAGTAATTGTATTTCTTATGCATGATTTCCTTAAAGAAGGCTTTACATTTGTTTATAGTTCTAATTTACAAAGTGATCCTTTAAAGCTAGGTTTTAGTAAGTATAGTTAAATGACCAGTAGTAGACTTTTTGTGAGTCTTTTAGAAATATGCATTAGTAAAAATATTTTGGCAGATTTTCTCAGAAAATATTTATCAGAATTTTGATAATCCTTAAAAAATATTATGCAAAATATTTCTTAGTTGTCTACATAAATACTACTGTCAGCTTTCTGAAGATAGCACAGATATATATACTAAAGCAAGTAATAATGGTAAAAATTAACAAAAAGATTTTAATTTAAAACTTATGATCAATAAACGTTTCTTTATAAAGAGAAGAACCTATATATTCAATTCAATCTCTGTCTAATTTTATTTGTCATCTTTTTAGTATTTTATGTTATTTCTCTAATGAAACATTGCAGTCATTCTATTTCAATTAAAAATTTGTGAAACAAATTTTAAAGACTTGATCTAGGAGTTTTAATTTTACAAATAAAAACCACCAAAAATGGGGAATCAAATATAGATTTCGTATTGTTAACAATATTTTTTATAATAAAAAATTACATATTCATTGAGAAAAGGTCAAGTAAAAGAATTCCAAAAAAAACAATGACAAAATAAACATTTCTAACAAAAATTTCTTCTTTTAATTTCAATTATAAAAAATACAAAAGTACAAACCTTTTTTTTGTTCAACAGAGAGTTTTAGGCAATCTTAGCAACATGAAAGATTATTTTTAGTAGCATGTTGGTATGCGTTGATATAGTTATCTGAAAGCCTATTTCAGTATTCTGTGTTGTTGGAATAAACTGAAGCAGGCAATCAGTTAACAGAAAATCCAGCACAAAATAATGTAAGTACTCAAAGAAAATCTAACTATTATTAAACCATTTTAATTAAATAAAAATAAAACAATTATAGTGCAAACAAGACTCTTAACCATAACATGAAGTTTTTTATACTTGAGCCGTAAAAAAACTGGCCTCTTAATTTTTTACGGAAAATGCAACAAATCAGGCCGTGTAATTCAAGTAGGCCATGATATATATATATATATATATATATATATATATATATATATATATATATATATATATATATATATATATATATATATATATATATATATATATATATATATATATATATAAACGTACCTTTTATTAAGTTGTATAGCTTAGTTAGGCTAAAAAGATCCTTTGCCTTTTCCAGCTGCCATATTAGATTTGGCCATGAGCGAATTTGTCATAAATCTAAAAATAATATATTTTAATAATATTATATCTTATAATTTATGAAATTATAATTAACTACTGTATTTAAAATTTTTTTCTTTTTTTCCATAAAATCTAAATGTAATTAAACATTTAGATTTTAATTTAACGATACAGTTTATCTATTAATTAAATCTAATCTATTATTTAAAAAATAGCACTCTAACCATTAATATAGTCCAGATCATAAGTGTACACTAACCATTAGTGTAGTCATATATATGAATATTATCTGGGTTAAAAGAATTATCTGGACTAAAGTTTAAAGCTATAGTATAACCTATAGCTTTAAACTTGCAAACTGGTAAAAGTGTAAATTGGCATTAGTGCGCCAAACAGGTTAGCAAACAATACGAATAGGCAAAAACTACAGAAGTGCGAACTGACATAAATGCGTGTAATAAATTCGCAGTTTGGAATTATGCTAAATTTTGCAAATTTATTTGGCACACTTATGCCAGTTCGCATTTATGTTGTTTGCACTTTTGCGAGTTTTTGCAACTGCTTCACACTTATACCAGTTCCCACTTATGGCAATTCACACGTATGCGAATGTTTGTAAATCTATTTAGCGCACTTATGCCAATTTACACATATGCCAGTTTGCACTTATAGCAGTTTGCAATTATGCCAATGTTTGGAATTCTTTTTGTGCAATTATGCCCATTTGCACTTATGCCATTTGGCATTGTGCCAGTTTTTGTAACTGTTTCGCACATGTGCTAGTTTGCGCGTATAAAATTCACGGTTATTCAGTCATCCCATTATGGTAAAACGGCTAACGTAGAGCCATGCATGGGATTTGTATAATGGATTGTAAGACGGGAGTAATATCATTATAAAATTAAACAGAGTATTTATAGGAATGCACTTTTAATTTACTAACCTCTTCATCATAGCTATCACAAGTTTTTGACATTTCTTACCACTAATATTTTGAACTCTTTGTTTCTAATAGAGAGAAATAATGGAAATCTGACAATTCCTAATTAAGTAGTAAAAATTATATATTGTAAAGAAAATTAAAAAAAAAAGAAAAATCTGTCAAATCAGTATTTAGCAATTTACAACTGCAGAGATACTACTGAGTTACTAGATGAAACATTGTCAAGTGCTGAGTCAAACTTATCAAATTCTATTATGCTGTTTATTTCAGTTACTACTTTTTCTTCACACTATTTTATATTAAGTTTTTTGCATCCTTGGGTTTTTATCTCATTTAAGAGAAGCAACACATAATATTGAAAGTCTAAACAAATTTACACTAATTAAATTTTACATTGTCTTAACTAAACTACGTAAATAAATTTAAAATACATAAATTTAACAATTTAACAACTTTACTGGTCTAAGCCTAAATCAGAGAAAAACTAATAGACAGTAAAATACCTAATAGTGGCAATGCTATATTATATATATTAGCATTTTTTCTCAGATTTCGGATTAGACAAGAAAGATTGTTCCATAGATTTATAGTTTTGATAATATTGAAATAATGGATTTCATGAAGGTCATTATTTAAAGTTAAAATTGGAACCTCATCGTTTTAATGATATTTTTAATATTGACAGTCATGTAAGCATTTTACAACAAACATTACATTATTATTTTTAACTAAAGACTTACTTGCTTGAGATAATGGAAATCCATAATGTTTATCCTTTTTATTTAAAGATGATGAAGATTGATGTGTCTTAAAATGAATCTCTTGGTCATCACAATCAATATCATCTTTGTTTATTATTTTTTGACCTACACAACACAAACATAGAGAATATTTGAATTTCATCTAACAACTTGTCTTCTCATGTAGCAATTTTACAATTAAAAAATTTTTACAAATTACTTTACAGATTATTAACTTTATAAGTAAAATAGGGTATATAGTATGGTATATAATATTATAGGTTTCATACTGCTAAACATTTGGTAATAACACCAGAATATCATTAAAGAATAAAAAATTTTAAAATGACATTTTGAAGTAAGTCACTCGAAGGCATACAACTTTAAACTAAAAATACTCCAATATATTTTCAAATTTAATTCTACAAAAAAAACAATACAAACACTTGGTTGATTTAAATATATACTAATTTATATAATTTTTACTTAAATAAATCAATTCGCCTAATCGAAGGTCACGCCATTATATGAGTAAACATACTCTTTTAAATATTGCCGTGCTGTACGTTTAAAAAAAGTTTTTTTATCACGTTAAAAAAACGTTTTAAAAACGTTCGTAAGCTAACTGAGAAATTTCGTAAGTTAATAAAAAAAATAAAACGTTTAAAAAACGCTAAAAAAACGTTTAAATTAACATTAAAAAAAACGTTTGCAAAAAAACGTTTTAAAAACGATTGTATTGGTTCTTTTAACGTCCGACCGTAAATTGAACGGAATTAAAACGTTTTAAAAACGTCCTGTGCTTACTGGGTAAGATATTGTACTATGACAACTATTATAAGTTTATGAAGAATTATTGTTTCTTTTCTTACTCATAACAACTCAATATTGTACAAAATATAAATGTTTTTTTTAAACGAATTAAAAGAGTCACGGCGCAAAAAGCTGTATTTTTGAGTTTATTAACTCGCATATAAGTTGATTTTTGATGAGTTGATTTTTGGTTATTTTCATAAATAAACCAAAAATCTAATCTAAACCCGTTGATCTAACGGGTTTTTTCAACGTTGATTTGCGTTTCCATTTCAACAAATAATCAACCAATTTTCAACCATAAATATCAACGGTTTTTCAACGTTGTTTCAACGTTGATTGTTAAAATTGATAAAATATGTTGGAATATTATCTTGCCACACCACTCTCCTTTTTGAAGACAACACTCACATCAGTTATAAATATTGTCTTCCTTAATACACTTAACAAATATTCTAGCTTGGCCGTCACATATAATAATAGTAAGATTGATTTTGCACTCAATATTTTCGTAAATAAAACCATCTTTCGCAAGAACTTTGAATTCTACGCCTAATTTTACGTAGATATTGTTAATGTAGTGGCATTTCATTGCAGGTTTTTGAAAAAAATCAACAAGTGAGTTAAAAAAACCAAAAAACATACAATGGCACAATTATACAAAAGAATTAATTGCCCATGGCTGGGGTAAGATCTGCAAAAATAATAAAAACTCAAAAGTAAAATTTTACAAATAGAAAACATAGTGCGTAGTAAAATAGAGAAAATGCCCTTTTATGTCGGGTAAAACGTACTGAGGATATTTAGTTAATTGTTAATAAACTAGTAAATATTCTTGCTAATTGTAAAGAAACTAGTTTTGTTGATTGAGTTTTAGAACTTTTATACTTTATATTATTGTGGAATATAAAATAAACAGACCCAAAAAAAAATGAAGCAATTTAATAGGTGGTTTCAACTTAAACTGCTTTAAACATCAAGTAAACTATAAAGATAATGTATAAATATTTAATTAAAATTGGAATCCATTAATGGATAAACCAACTAGAATCACCGACAGCTTCGCTAATTGATAATATCATAAACAATAATTTTTATAAATCTCAAAAAAAAGGTATTATTTAAAGTGACATCTCCGATCGTTTCCTATTTTTTCTCAATACATATTGAACCAAATAAAATACCAATTGGCAGACAAATCTTTTTTAAACGCATCTGCAAAGAAGTAAATTTATTGTCGTTTTGGGAGCAACTCTCATTGCTTCATTGGAAAAATACAAACACTTTATCTTACGTTAACTTAACTTACAACAAACTACTAAAATCTTTTTATCAAGTATATGATGCATTCTTTCCAAAACGTAAAATAAATCTAAAACTAAACAACAACAAATCTTGCAACAACTAATCTTGGTTCTTTTGAATTATCTCTTGAGGAAATTGAACTGCTTTTGGTGAAAACCATAAAAAGCAAGAGGTTTTGATTGTATAAATTGCAATATAAATAAAAATTCAAAGGGAATTATTAAAGACATTCTTTTTAAGATTTTTTCCGTTTAACAAGACAAGGAGTTTTTCGTGACCAATTGACAAAGTAGCAAAAGTTACACCAATAATCAAAGGAGGTGATCTAACAAATGTTAATAACTATCGCCCTGTATCTATTCTTCCAGTTTTTTCTAAAATTCTAGAAAGAATTTTGTATAACAGAATTTATACTCATCTTACTGACAATCATTTGTTATTTTAACCATTAGAATGGATTCAAAAAAACCTAACTGCAGTATTGCACGTTCGACAGAACATGCAATTCTCCAGTTAATACGTAATAAAACTGAATTGTTTAAAGAAATCTGTGTATACCTAAAGAATCGTCATTAACTTATCCAAAGTCTTTGATACTAGAGACCATGAAACACTTTTTAAAAAAGTCAAACATTACGGAATAACTAGAAATGTTATTAAATTGTTAAAACGTTATTTAAATAATCGCAAATAACTTGTATCCGTTGGCGCTTCTTCACCAATGAATTTGCTAATGATTAGCTGTGGTGTTCCGCTAGGATCAATACTCGCAGCTCTTCTTTTTCTCATATATATTAACGATCTTCATAAAGTATCTAGATGAAAGGCAATAATGTTTGCCAATGATACAAATCTATTTCTATCTCATAATAACATTCCTACACTGTTTTAACTTATGAATCCTGAATTAAACAAGGCTTCTTACTGGTTTAAATCAAACAAGTTATCACTTAACATTAAAAAAGTAATTAAATTTTCTTTCATCCACCTTTAAAAAAAACCGACTTAATAACAAAATGCCCTCCCTTTTCATTGATAATATTAAAATAAACAGAGTGAATTAAACAAAATTCTAAGGTGTTGATATTGATGATAACCTTACTTGGAAAACCCACATTGAAAGTTTATGCAACAAAATATCAAAAAGTATAGGAATTTTGTATAATGTAATAAGTTTTTTGAATAAGAAAACTCTAACTCAATTATATTTCTCTTTTACTCACAGCCATATTAACAATGCAAATATTGCATGGGCTAGTAAAAACTAGCTCATGTAAAAAGGAAAATTGAACCTCTTCATTGTCATCAGAAGCATATAGCACGTTTAATAAATTTTAGTGAACGTTTACCCATGAAAAACCTTTATCAAGAAAAACGAGTGCACTAAAGATAATTCAAACTTATGTTCTATGTTTTATGTTATTATGTCAAATCAATTCTTTTCTGGTTTCTTTTTATAAATTTTATTTGTTGAAAGATAAAAATAAATACATTCTACAAAATGAAATTTTTTAATAAGCAGTCGTTTTTTATTCCAAGTTTATTTCATTTTTTAAGTAAGTTTAGCATCGCTTTTCGCGGAACATTTTTATGTAACGAAATAGTTTAATAAAAATTTTTATTGAACAATATAACTACAACTCATTTAAACGAAAATTTAAAAGAATTATTTTACAATTGATGATTTGGTAATATATTTTTAATATATATATTTTTTGTCTATATCCCCCTTTTTACCTTTGATTAATCAAAAAAATTTTAAAGATTTATATATATATATACAAAGACTTTTATGCGACTTTTTTTTTTTTTTTTGGGTATATAGTATATATAATAGATTAAAACATTTTCAATTGACTAAAATAATTTCTGTAAAGAAAAAACATGTAGTTATCTTGTTTATCCAATATTAGAAGAAATTAACACATATATGTTAACGGTTCTCGACAAACGGCTTTTTACGACTCCTCGACTTCTTTTAATTTTATGTAGATCATTTTTTGAAAATGTTTTAGATTTCATTTACTTTTTTTCGATTCTTATCTTTTCAACTTTATATTGTATAACAACATGTTGCTTAAAATATAATAAAAAATAAAAATAAAAAAAAAATTGAATTAATATATATATATATATATATATATATATATATATATATATATATTATATATATATATATATATACTATATAAATATATATATATATATATTATGTTATTATGTCTGTTATATATTTTTTTGTTATAGCGTCTGGTTATAGATCCTGAGCAAAAATCGATTATTTACCACGCCAGAAAGTCACTGTTGTTTGATAGCAATCAAGTTTGGATTAAGAAGTAAAGCGGATTATTCGATGTTTCGATGGGAGCATTTGATGGCGCCGAAGTGTGTGAACATGTGGGGATTTTTCTTTTATTTCAGATTACACAGTTTTACAATAAGAATAATTTTGGGTTATACCGTGATGAAGGTTTGGCGATTTTTAAAAACATCAGTGGTCCCCATATGGAAAAAATTAAAAAACATGTTGTTAAAATATATAAATCGAACGATCTTCTGATATCAACACAGTGCAACATAAAAATCGTAAATTATCTGGACATTACATTAAACCTCAACAACCACACCTACCAACCTTACTCTAAACCCAGAAACTCTTTAAATTACAGTTCATGCTGAATCAAACCACCCATCCAGTATTTTAAAGCAACTCCCACATTCTATTGAATTAAGATTATCAGCAAATTCGTCAAAGCGAGGAAATCTTTCAAAAATCCACTCCAATGTATAATGAAGCATTAAAAAAGTTTAGTTTTAATTACAATCTTTCTTACCAACCTAACTTAATATTATCTCACACTAAGAACCGTAAACGTAACATCATTTGGTTCAACCCGCCTTTTAGCAAAAACGTCAGCACGAATATAGGAAAAATATTTTTAACATTATTGATAAGCACTTCCCTAAAAATCACAAGTTGCACAAAATTTTTAACAGAAACACATTAAAAGTAAGTTATAGCTGTATGCCTAATATGAAATCCGTTTTAAATGCCCACAATCGCCATGTTATAAACAACAAGAAAGAATCAGCTGAAAATAATTGCAATTGCATAGAAAAAAACACCTGCCCTTTATCAAACCAATGCTTAACAAAAAATATAGTAAATCAAGCTAATTTATGCTCAAACAATCTTGTTCAATCTCCCATCAATAAATTTTACATTGGCATAAGCGAAACATCTTTTAAAATTAGATATGCTAATCACATAAAATCTTTTAAAATTCCCAAATACAAAATGACACTGAATTATCAAAGGAGGTTTGGAGATTAAAAGATGAAAACTTAAACCCGGTTGTTAGGTGGAAAATAATTAAACAGTGTGATGCCTATAACCCTGTAACAAAACGATGTAACTTATGCTTAAACGAAAAGTTCGAAATTTTATTTTTCAAACACCCAAATTTGTTAAATAAAAAGAGTGAAATATTATCTAAGTGCCGGCATAAAAACAAATTTCTTCTTGCCCAATTTGACACTGGCGATTTGCAGTTTTACAACTATGCTTCTTTTTTATTCGTTTTTTTATTCGTTTTGTTTTGACGTCGGAACTCATTCGACTGCTTTTTTTGTATTTTGTGTTTTTTAACGGTTTTTTCTTGATTTGTATAATATATATGGCTGAAGATTGCCGATAGGAATGAAACTTTTAGTTCCATTATAAAGTTGTATTTTTCTATTTAATTACACTTTATATATATATATATATATATATATATATATATATATATATATATAATATATATATATATATATATATATATATATATATATACATACATATATGTATATTACATTGCGTACATTGCGTATCGGTTACATTTTTAAACGCATTTGTGCGCGTGAATTGCATTTCCGTTAAGTTTACAAACGCATTTATAAGTGTATGTTGCGTTTGAGTTACGTTCGTAATATAAATGCGTAAGTTACATGTTAAACGCGTGGATAAATGCGGTTATTTGCTTAAATTGCGTTTACGTTTACATAAGTTGTTAGTGGTAAGTTTTTTTGTTGCAACTGAAGGATTTCTTCTACATCCTGACTCTTTCAAACTATATTTTTTTATGAAAATTGTATTCTTAACACAGCAAATGTTTTTTATTTCCAATAATGCTAAATCTGTTTGGAGAGCTGCAAACAACTCTTCTCTTTTATCCTTCAGTGAAAAAAATGTTTAAATATCTTCAAATTATGGAATGGGAAACAAAGCACTGAATGTTTACCTTTTTAGAAAATAAAAATGGAAAAAGTAATTAAAGTTCGTCAAACCTATGAGCAAATAATGTCAAGTATAGAATTTTAAATGCCACAAGGTAAAAGCGATAAAACTGTATTATGCTGAAAAATACACACACAAAAAAACTAATTGCTTTCATCTTACCATAGAAGGAAAAGAGAATAACTTGGATTTGAGTTTTAATATCACTAGGATTATGTTCTTTTATTCTTAGCTAAAAATTATAATTTTAAATTTGCATATTTGAATATGGAAACCTTTTTTTGATGTTAAAAAAAAATTACTCTTACCGCAGAATTTTTTTTTCTTTCCTAAACTGTTGGTAATGATCAATAGAGTAATTTTCAAATCTTGAAAATTACTAAATTAAAATCATTTTGCAACAGTATCCAACATACTGCATCTCAACAGTGTCACACTAAAATGAAATAATGTTGGTAAATACAAAGAGATATTCAACAGAAGGTTTCGTTAATGAAAAGAAATTTACTGTGGATTTTTGTTTTTATAGTTCTGTATCACCAATTATTAACTAAACTGTAGCTGTAACTTGTTTTTGGCTTGTCTGAAAAAGGATTTTAAAAATTTCTTCTTAATATGGTCAATGAACTTTCTTTATGCAAATGAGAGCATGTAATTAAAACAAATATTTTAATATATACACATAGGTATTTTCACATTCAGAAAAGTTACTCTTCTGAATGTGAAATGCCTGCGTACATTTTACAAATCTATGATACTCAGTATTATAATATGATACTGAGTAAAAAAAAAAGTTATTATTTTTTACTCAATTAACTTAAATAAGATTTATTTTATAAATCATATTTAAGTTAATTGAGTTTGAAATTGAGACTTTTAAATGCAAAGAAACATCACATGTTTATTATACAAAGTAAAAAACTATTTTTTTGACAGCTATTTCCCCAATATTGCAATGCTTTCTGGTTGTTCAATTACCACGGTTTTCTTTACCTTTTATCTAAATACTTTGAACATAGATTCAAATTCTCCATATTTAATGTTCAAGCTTTAAAGTCTTTTGAAATTTTAAGAAAATTACTCATGGTGATATTTTGTTAAATAAACTATTTTAAGCACAAATAAAACTTAACCAATAGTTTTTAGGTTGTATATTAAAGATAAAATTTATTTATTCAATGTCATCAATCTTTTCTATATAATTTATAGAGATTTGTAAAATAATGTAAGATATGAAAATGTTTTTATATTACGTTATCTTCAATATATCCGCATCATCACCAGAGCTTATTTCATCAGAACTGCTGAGATTCAAACTTTTGCCATATATACATAAGTCCATAATCTTTTATTTTGTTCGATTTAATAATCCTTAATTTTTAATATCACGTTTCCTCGTGCAATTACATGCTGTTTTAAATCAACTTGAAAAAAAAAAAAAAAAAAAAACTAAACGGCCACCGAAAACATCGATTTATTTTGAAGTTATGTTGACGTCTGCTAACTAAGTAAACGCAATAAATGCGTCACATGCGTTTAAGTTAGCGTGTGAGTTTTTATTTTGGAACGCAAGCGCAAAACACAGTTTTTTGGCGTTCCAATGTATAATTAATACATTGTAGAATAAGGTCACTTATGTGCACAGAGTTTGTTGTGAATCTATATGGTATTTGAATTTGGTGTATTTAATTATGCTTTTAATTTATTGTAATAATTATCGAGGTTCTTCAAATAAGAAGAGTGGGAGGAGCAACTCAATACAAAAAATTTATAAGCACTGCTTATTATAAACGCATAAAAGGTGAGCATTGAATGCGAGTTATTAGATATTGCATCTTATATAGGACTGAAATGCTTTTTGTAACAGTAAATAGCAGAAAGTAAAACAATAGTACATTTCTCAATTTCTCCTATTCATTGTTTGCTAATTTATTTGCAGTCGTTATACATTTTACTTAATCTTTTTTGTATGACCTTTTAAAACTTAAAAAATAAGTTGTTATTCTGTCTTTGAGTTTGTTGAATTTTTTGACAATTAAATCAAAACCATGGTTTCTTCAAGTTTGAATTACTGGTCAATTGAATTATTTTTATTTTTTTAAAACATGCCTTATGATTGACAGACTTTTTTTGTAATAAATATTGTTTTTTTAGATATTGTTGGTGAAAAATTATTGTTGGTGATAAAATTGTGAACGATGCATGCAACATCGAGGGTACCATTGACGACATATTAAAATGAGCCTAAAAATAATTGTTTTGCTTGATTGTGTTCATATATTATTATTCTCAAAAGAAACATTCTTTTTAATTTCTTGAAATGGTTTGTGTCAATACTGGGATTTTTAACAATATCCTGATGAGGGCTGCCTTATGTGTTGAATTCCTAAATACCTGTATATTTAATTTAGGCACTGTGGTAAAAAAAAGACTTTATTTCTTTTATCAAGACTCGATTTTTTATAGATGTTAGAAATGGAGTTAGTATAAAATGATCGAAACTAACTTTATGGATGATTGAACAAAAGTTAAACGTCTGTCGAACGTCTAAATTTTGTTGGTTAATAGTCTATATTTTAACTGGACCTCAAAATGGAGGTCCAGATTAGACTATAGACTATTTTGAACGTCCTAGGACGTACTTTAGAGACTGAAATGGCGTTCAAAAGATGCTTCTTTTGGTTTATGCAATTGGCGTCCAAGGACGTCTGTTCTCGACATCCAAACGGACCATTTGGACATCCTTGGACCCTTGAGTGTTGCTTCCTAATAGCCACACGGACGTTCATAGTACGTCCGTGTGACTATTAGGAAGTTACACTCAGAAAGCCTAAAATATCACAGAAGAATTATTTAGTAAAAATAAGTTAACAATTAATAGTCTTCCAAAAGCAATAAACTTTACTGACGTTGATATAATTAATAAATCAATAATTGCAAAAACAATTAATCAAGCTTTGTTTGAATAGGATCAAGTTTAGCCTTAAAACTAAAACCTAAAACTAAAACCCGGTGACTTTAGCGTAGAGTTATATTTAAGTGTTAACAATACAATAATGATTAACGATAAATTGACTAAATATGAGTTATTAATTGCTTTTTAAAATTTGACTAAATATGAGTTATTAATTGCATTTTTAATCTTTCTTTAAAACAAGGAATATTTCCAGAAAATTTTAAAACTACAAGAGTTATACCGGTTTTTAAATTGAGTGATTCTTCTAATGTGTCTATTTATAGACCTCGCTATTCTTCTTTACTTCTTTAAAATACTGAAACTAATAATGTAAAAAAAGTTCAAAATGATTGTACCCTAAATGATAAAAATGTTCAAAAAAGTTATTCATTTTATCATACTACTCTTGGACTTATTCAGGATATTTTTCGAGCCTTTGATAAAGAAGAATTTACATTAGGTATTGTTATAGACCTTAGCAAAGTTTTTGACACAGTTGACCATTATAGTTTTATAAAAAAACTAGTAAACTACGAACTTAAAAATGTAAATACAGTTTAGTTTAAAATCTACTTGTTTAATAGAAAGCAGTGTTTCTTATGATGGTGGTAAAACTGATAAAATAAGATAATCATAATCATAATTAATAAGATAATTGTGGAGTTCCTCAAAAATCTATTTTAGGACCCCTTTTATTTTAAATATACATTAACGACTTAAGTTGAGCTTCGGATAATTTAGGCTCTATTTTGTTTGCTGGCGATACCAAATTATTTTATTCCCATAGTAATGTAAAACACTATTAAAAACACTCGACAAAGAACTGTTAAAAGTAACTGAACGGTTTAAGACAAATAAATTTTCATGAAATTTTACCAAAACTAAGTATACTTTTTTTCATCGCCTTTATCAAACAGACAAATTTCCTCTTAAGGTCCCAAATTTTAGCATTTGGAATGACTTTATAAAAAGAGGACACTTAATGTGGTTTCTAGGCGTTCTTCTTGAATAAAATGTCACATTGATAAATCACATATAATTAATCGAAAATAAAATTTCAAAAAATATTGGCATAGGGTAAAATCGTACATAAATCCAATTTGCTTAAAATATATCTACTTCTGTATATATATCTACTTTTATTCATTCTTATCTCAATTATTCTAAATTTGCTTGGTGCAAATTTAGAATTTCCAAATAAATGTTTATCATTTTTTAATTTTCATGGGGGAGCTTAATAACGATACAATACAAAATATTTTTAAAACGCTATTTAAAAAAATACAGCAAAAATATCTTTCTAGACATGCAAACAATAATTGGATTAAAGCTAATACTCACTCTGAAGCTGATAACTTTTTTATCACTGATAGAGGCCCCAGTTATGGAGAATAGTAATTAGAAACCACATTAAAACAATTCCGTTTAGTTTTGATTTAAAAGTTATTTTAATTAATCAAAACATAAAGGACTTCTTCTTGAGCCATATTTATTTATTGGTCTTTAAATTATTGAATAGTATACTTTCATTTTATTTGCAAAGATAAAAAAATTGGGTTCTATAAAAAATTCTCATTATTATTTTTAAATTTTCCTTTGTAAAAATCAAAACTTTCCATAAAATTCTTAATTCTCTTTATCATATTTCCTAATTGGTATTTTAAATCATTGTAATTGAAAACTTATGTAATTTTGGATACTTTTTCGGTTTGTTAGTTTTTTAATTTTGCTTTTTGTTTATTTACTATTAAAAAGAACCTTTAGAGTTTATTATCTTTATTTTTTTTTTTTTTTTTTTTCATGTTTACATTTGACTTCCTTTAAAATGACAAGTTTTGTCATTATAAAGGAAGGCTATATTATTTACTGATTTTTATGGGGCTTAACGATTTGTAGAGTTTCCAAATACGAAAGTTCTAATTATTTTAAATGGCAAATTTATAAATTAGAGTATGTTCTAATTATAATTATTTATAGTTAGAACATACTCTATGATTTCAAATGGAGGTTTTTATGTTTTGTTTTTGCTCCATTCATATTTGACTTCGTTATAACATTTGGAACACTGCCCTTGTTATGATCGTTATCGGGATTATATTTATTTTACGAAACAACATGTTAATCCAAAAACTTAGTTCTAATTCTTGATTTAAAGATATCAAAACAAACGAATTACTTTTTATGCACAAATCTTGGCTGCGTAAATTGTGAAAAGATTAAGAGGTTGGTAAAATTAGACTAAATTCAATTTTAAAGTTTGTTTGAATATGATTTAAAATATAGAGTTTTAGAGCTTTATTTAG